GTTCTTTTTGTCTTGATCCCCAACAGTATCCAATTTAGGTACTACTTTCCAAATGGCTTGATGATCTCTTTTCTTCCCCACTCTTGTATAGTGTGTTTATAGTACCCACTTACGAGGCAGTTAGATTCGTAGGTTAGTGTTCCTCTCTCATTTGGGGTCCTCCCACATTTTGATTGTTCATTTAGGAGCCTGTGAAGCGAATGTGAAGCCCTACTGTGGTCCCAGGAATCTGACCTAAGTGAAAAGATGAACTGGAGAAGTGTGGCGGACTTCTTGACTCTTCCTACTCTATTTCCACACTGCTGTTTTTTCTATTCCTTTCTCACCCACTCCCCCACAGCCAAGGAATCCCTTTAAATTCGGGTTCACTATTCCTTTACATCTTTGACCAAATTCCTTCACATCTTATGTCCTTCTTTTTTGCACGGAAGGAAGTACATAAAAAGGCATGTTGCAGTTTTTACTGCACACTATGTCTTGGAGAGCTCCCCTTCTATGCGAACAGATGTAGCACTCCGTTGTGTGACGGACCATCCTTTACTCACTCACTTCCCTAAGCATGGGCATCTAGGGGGTTTGAGGTATTTTGCTGTTCAAAACAATACTGGATTGAATGACCTTCTGCATATGAATTTGCACTCTGTTAGCGGCGTTACCTGCAGAGTGATTTCTAGGAGGAGGACCGCTGTCTGGAATGAAAGTGCACACTAGGTTTTCTCAGGCAATGCCAGAGTCTCCTCAGAAGGGTTCCACTAGCTGGCAGTCCCACCCGGAAGGGAATGGCAGTGCCTACTTTCCCACAGTCTCATCAACAGGATGTATTGCCAGAGATCCAAAATTTACCAGTCTCGCAGGTGAGGCATGGCTACCCCAGTGTGGCTTTTTTCATCTAATACATGTGTGACTCTGAAAGTTTCCATTTAGAGGTTTGAAGACCATTTTAATATCTTCTATTTCCCCCCCAGAATTGTTCATGTGTTTCCTGTCCCCTCTTTTGTTACATGGTTTTTGGTCCCATGATCCTCAATTTTAGAGTCCCTCATATAACAGGGATATTTGTCATTTGTTTGTGGCATATGTCACACGTATTTTTTCACGGTGTTATCTTTTGGCATTGTTTATATTTTTTTCCATCGTGCAAAACCTGTTCTAATGTTTATGCTAAAATTGATCATGTATTTTATTTTGAAGCCTCTAGATTGTCAATCACAGGGAGAAAACGACTGTCTACACCGAGCAAGGTTAAAGGGGGATTTACCTATGCTTTCTTCCAGCACTGGCGTTGTTTTATTTTTTACATTTAGACTCCACATTCACTTGGGGTGATTCTTATGTAAAAGACATAGATCTCTTCACCTCTTTTAAAATGACACTAGAGTTGTTCCAGCACCATTTATTAAAAAGCCTTTCTTTTACCCTGTGAGATTTGAGAAGCTAGGTTGTTTAACCAAGTTTCCATATGTGTTTTGATCTAATTCTAGGTTTTCTCCACTGATCTGTTTAGTCACATGCCAGTACTGCACTGTTTTAGTTATTGAGCCTTAGAAATTTAATTTTATATGTAGGCATTTCTTCTATTCTTGGGAACTCAAGAAAAGGGAAACAGGACGATCACAGCCCATACCTGCACTTGACAATGTTCCAGCTCTTCTTTCAGATTAGACTTTTCTCGCTCCCATTCCTGCAGCGCAGCATCTCCCGGCTCCGTTTCCTTCTGGCACAGCACTTCGGACAGACGTTGATGAAGTTTTTGCAACTCTTCCTGATTCTGAGCGTTCTTTTGGCTAAGGGCTATGTTTTCCAAGTCCAACTGTTGGTTTTTGGCTTTTAACTCTGAAATCTAATTAAAATGGGAATATGTTTTAAAAATTGGTTACCCCACTTCTGTTAAAACACAGATTTAGGAATGAATTGTTTTTTCCCCTTTCTGTGTAGTTTTACTAACAGAAACACATGCTCATTATTACAAATTCAATCCATTTGGAAGTGTATGAAGAAGGATGAAAGATCAATCCTATTTTACCCCACAGAAGGATACACTCTGCACAGCGGATACCTGCCTCTCCAGATATGTTTTTCTCTGCATGTGCAAAACCCCATATATACACGTATTTTTTCTTGACAAAAATTTAGGTCATTTTCCTGTTTGGAAAACCTATTTTATCCACTTCTAATGCCTACAGATGCTTTTCTTTCCAAGTCAATACTAGTTCAGAAACGACTACATAATTTTTTTAATAGCCAGTCAGTATTTCACTGTATCAAGATGTTTCATTTATCTATTCTTACATTGATAGACACATAGGTATTTTATTTTTTCCTTTTCATTATGAGTAAACAAAGCACAAATTTGGAAAATACCTCTACACCTGACAGCATCTTGTTTTTTAGGATCATTTCTTTTTAAAAAAAATCATTTTATTGGGGGCTTGTACAACCCTTATCTCAATCCATACATAGAATCATTTCTTAGTGGGATAGCTGGGTTAGAAAATATGTACATATGTTACCATTTTGATGGCTATTGCCAAAACGGCTTTCCCACAAGTGGGACCAATTTATAATCCTATCATTATATGAATTCCTTCTTTCTCATATCCTTGCTAATACTACAAGTTACTTTCCCCCCACCTCATTTCATAGGTGAAAAATAGAAATTCGTAGTTTGCATTTCCTCAATTACTAATGACATTCATCACATTTTTAAATGTTGCAATTTTTTTTCCTGATTGGCCCACTTATATTGATTGCCCATTTTTCAATTGGATTTGTCATTAATTTCTAAGAATACAAACTATATTTTGGATGTTAACCGTTTTTCCATATCAAGTATTGAAATGCTCTTTTCTCTACTCTGCCCTCATTCTTTGACTATTTCAGACTGATTCTTGAATGGCCTTCTCTTGCACAATTAGATCTTAGGAGATTATGAAAATAGGGCACTGAAAAAGTCTGGGAACTGAGATACTGATTAGTAGGAACCCTCTATCTGTGAAATTCTGTCCTTAACTTCCTGGTTCCCACCTTGTTGATGAAAGGGTGGGGAGCTGCCATTTACTATGACTCCTTTAAGCAGGATGAATGCCCTCGAGACGTCTTATTACTCTCCTACCTTTCTACCAGATGGCATGAGGGAGAGTCCGTTCCATAGGTCGCCCTGGCCTAGCTATAAAGCGTGTATGGAGTCCTTGTGGTCTAGAAATGACATGTACTTACTTTAAGAGAAAAAGAAACCTACTTTGGAGGCAGCATGAGATGGGTTTCTATTTTAAAACTCAAGATTACAACTTGACCAGTATGTGCTATGTGTAATCCTGCTAGCACGTTCCATACAACTTAAAATTTCCAATCAAAAAGCAAATGTTATTGCACAGTGAACACCCAAGTGTGCCTCGTAGTTCCCTTGGCCTTGACACTGTGCTAGAGCAATGTCTGGTCTTTTCCTCTGCACTGAACGGCACGTTCATCCTTCAAATGTATTCAAAAGGCCAGCACATCTTTAAAAAAAAAAAAAAAAAGGGCAAATTTTAGAATATAGAAACAATGGGAAATCTTAAATATCCCCTTACCTGATTCTTTAAATTTTCAACCATCTTCTGAACGATATCTTTTTCCTTTTTTACAGCCTCTATTTTTTTCCTAAAGGGATACAGAAATTATACTTCAATGATGACTTAAGACTTTAAAAGTTGAAGTAAAACTGCTTTAGCCTTTAAGTATATATCTTACCACATTTCTTCCTGAGATCCATTTAATGCCCCTAATTTCAGGTTCGAAACACTATCTTCTTCATTTAAACTGGTAATTTCATTTCTCAAAATAGAATTTTCATCTTGAAGTTTCTCAGATTCATATCTGAAGCACAGAGATTCAAAAAAAGGGGCGGGGAGTCAACAAGACAGTCATCTGGCATTTTTGGAAAACACTTTCTAGTGAGTTCCAATAAAGCAAGGACGCCATGCCAGTTAAAAAGAAAAGTCTAAATTAGTAGTCTCTTCATACTTAGCAATTCAGCTACGCCATATTGACTCACTTCATTTGGGAAGGATTCCACTAAAGGATGTTAAGCAAGTTAGCAGGGAAAGTTGAGCATGGAGACAGCATGCTTCCTCTGTTCGTTTCCTCAGCAGCCAGCACACAGCTCTGAGCAAATGTCTTCAACTACCTCAGTCTCGAGGCCTGCCTACTGGGACTTGATATAAGTCATCTTACCACACGTTACAGAGATGCATTAGCTTTAATTTTAGATTTCAAGGGCACCATGAAAAAGACATCTTACTACATAAATCAAAAACCATATAGAAATATGTACACTAATGGCTACTTGGAATGTTTTCATTTTATTATATTTTGACTTTTAGATTGAAATAGGTCAGAAGCATGGGAAGAAACATTTAGTTAGCATTAAATTAGGTTTGTTTTATGTCATTCAGATATTTCTGACAGGACAATACTTTCTAATTTTATAGAAATAAAATGTGCTGAAGACTAATGTGATCATGTTAAGTGGTTCAAGTTCTATTTTGAATTTATCCTTTAAGCAAAGTTATTAAAATCTAGCTACTTCTCAATAAAGTTATACATCCTAAGATAAATGTCCACTGTTTGCAGGAGACCGGCATGTATTTCAAGCGATGTAAGTGGAAAATTGTAGCCACAAACCACGTTTTCTCTGTACTAATTTGGAGCTCTTATCTACCAACTGAGTTAATCAGACACAAAAGGCATTCACACTTACAGATCATCCAAATGAGAAAAGGAGCTAGTGTTTAGTTAAAAGAAAACAAAAAACTATTCATCCAAATGAAGTAAGTGCTAGAATGGAGTGGAAGACCTGACAGGGTCTGATGATGCACAGGTTAAACAGCAAACCCTTGCCATTCTGAACTGCCAGACCCGGAAGTGCACCATTCATAGCCCACAGAGGAAGGGGCGCCTCCCAGACAAGGGTATTCTACTTGTTAATGCGACACAGAGCAGAAGGGTGGCCGCGGGTTCTTCTCGAACACTAGCAGGTTAGTTCTCTAGGCTCAGCAAGCAGCGGAAGTTAGCATTGGTGAGGCGTTCGGTGGGATTCCAAGCTTGGAGGGCACATACGTTACCTCAGAAGTTCAACTTTTTGCTGCATTTCGCTGCATGTGTTTTGCAAGTCAAGCATCGCTGACTTCAGCTCTTCCTCCTGTTCTCCTGGAGAAGGTCCATCTTTTTGCTTCACTAAGGTCGTGACTCTCTCCCTCAACTTTCTAGTCAGCTCCTGGAGCTTTTCTTTCTCCAGCTCCAACTCGGCTATCGTGGCTTGGCGCTGACACTGTTTGTCTCGCAGGCCGACCAGGGCAGGAGTTTCCCCCGGGAGAGCCTGGGTCTGTGTCCTTGGCTGTTCTGAATACGTCTGAGCGGTTCCTTGCCAAGTAACTGCATGCGCTTTCCTTTTCTTCCCCAAGAGTGGCGTGTGGTCTCGCTCGGGGAATTGGTGTTCTCCTGCAGCCCCTTCTTTAACACGATGCACGTTGCTGAAACTTGACATGCGCTCTTCTAGTGCCTGATTCGATTCACATCCCTTTTCATCAGGTTCAACCTGCATGTGATTTAAATGGCCGTCCCATAGGGAAACGCAATCACACTGTAACACTGATCTCCCCTGCAGCTTCTCGATCTCTCCTTGAAGTCTCAAAACCAGAACCGTCAGCTCCTCGTTTTCTCCTTTGACTTCATCATAACTCTTTTCCAGGCTAAGGAACGGCTCGGTCACTTCTCCAACTTTCTTGAGCTCTTCCCGCAATCGGAACACTTCGGAAGTAAGGTCTTTGTTCGTGTCTAGTGCTTCATCGTAGTGGCTCTCCATCGCGCGCAGTTCCTCCTGAAGGCAGTCATTTTCCCTACTCGCTTCTTCATAGAACAACTTATACTTGGGAGAAGCCTCTGGGAGTCTCTCAAGCGTCTTCAGTTTCTTTTTGAGTACTGAAATATCAAAAAGAAGGTCCTGTTTTTTTTCAGAAGCTCGCTCACAGTCGGCACGTAAGGTTGCTAGCTGTTCCCGAAGCTGACTAACCTGAATCTTTAGGTCCCAGGACAGAGTCCTGGTCTCGTCGCTATTTTCAAGCTCAGAGAAACTCTCTATTGATGCTTCAGACTCTATTCTGGCCTCCCACCTCTGAGGAGAGCTGGTGGCTGTACTTCTCAGGTCCCGGGTCTCATCATCTTGCAAGTCACTCAGGACGCGCCTCTTGGTTACACCTTCCATTCGCTTCATTCTGTTTTGTAGTACACATGGCTCCGTTTGTCCCAGGGAATTTCTTAAAAATTCAGTACTTGACTCATCCAAACAGGAAGATATCACTGATCCGGGCTCTAATCTTTGCAGCCTTTTCTGCAACCGAGAAATTTCAGCCGCCATCGTCACATTCTCCTTCACTGCTCGCTCATGAGCCCTCTGCAGGCTCAGGAGGACATCTCCATTCTCTTCCAGCAGCTGCTCCCCTTGCTGCAGCAGGGACATGGCGCTGCTTCCGTCGGCCTCCCTCCCTCCCGTGGCCTGGCAGCCACTCTCGGGCCTGCAGGGAGGAGAGGCTGCCAGCTGCACTTCCTTTAGCTCAGTCTCCAGCCTGGAGATTTCTGCGTGCATCTCGGCCCGCTCTTGGTCTGCTCTCTCACGGGTCACTCTGTGCATCTTCTCCGCAGCCAGCAGCTGCACCACCAGTTCCTGTCTCTCCTGCTCTCGTTTCACCTCTAGAGGCTCCTGCTGCTCCGAGGCCCCTGCCTGGCACAGGGCCTGCGCGCAGCGCTTCAACTCTCTTTCGTGATTGCTCTTCAACTCAAGTATCTGGTTGGCCAGTCGACTTTGCTCATTTGCAGACTCATTTTTCAGACCCTCCAGGTCTCTGCGGAGCTGCTCTTTCTCGACAACCGCACTATTCAGATGGTCTTCGTAAGTTTTCTCCAGCATCTCTCTCTCCTGGGTCAGGACCAGAGAGACGGCTTTCTCTCTTTGAAGCGTCTCTTTCAGCCTCTCCTGGGCTTCAGCACACTCCTGGGTCAGCTCATCCTTCTCAAACTCCCACTGGGCTTTCTCTTCCCGTTGCTGCTCCAGGAGCTCCTGCAGCTGCTGGCGGCAGTCCTCCTCCAGGCTCCGCAGCGCGTCTTCGTATCTCTCAGTGACTTTCTGGCAATCCGCCTGAAATTGGGCCTCTATCTGGGAGGTTCTTCTATTATACTCAGTTTCCATTTTTTCCCTAAATGTGGTCAACATACAACATTACTGACACAGCCGCCAACTCCGGAAGCAAACAAAAAAAACATTTTACCATGCACAGAAGAGGCTGCTAAGCAAACCATCTAAATACTTTCTAAACACTGGCTTGATGTATTCCTATGTGAATCACAGATGCTGGGAACGGATCTCATTGTGAGCGCTCAGACTGCATCCATCAGTAATTTAGGAGACACATGGCCCGCTCTCTGCATGGAGGGGGTGAGATGTAGAAACCAACTTCTTGGGCATATTCCTGAAGATATATTTCCAGGAATTTTAAGCTGAAACTTAAATTGGTGTTTCATACTCAATGCTAAAACGCATATTAACCTAACCCCTCGCTTAGGAAATATGTAAAGTTCCTTCATTTTAATTAAGTGATTAAGATAACAGCATCCTTAATAAGTAGGATATTAGTCAGAGAAGCCATACATATTGACAAATTCATTTTGTTTTTGCTTCTTACTTAATCATACTTTTAAAAGTTTTATTGGCACATAAGCCACATATCATGATTCAATTTCTTACTTAATAATACTTATAACAATATGGAGTACTTAGTAAGTAAGATACTTAAATATGCTTACTTGATAGCAGCGAGTTAACTGAGTGTGAAACACCAATGCTCTCAAATGTACCTCAGGCCTTGAGCAGGATTGCAAACTGGTTTGAACCAGTCATGGCCGATGCAGTAAGGTGGAACGTTCCCAAATCCTTCAAGTTTAGGTGAAGTGGAATTGTAACCTGATGGGGAAAACGCCGGGTGGTAGCCCTGGAATGGGAGACTCCGAAGACGTAGTGAGCCCTTTCCAAGTCTGATGCAGGAGCCTGGATTATTTATTGCTAGACCTGTGGAGCACTAACTAGATTCAGAACAGGGTGGTCCTCAAGCAGGGCACTGCGGTTTCTGACTGTCGGACATGAGGTTTGCTGGCTATCACGGGCCTTAATTTTTAAGAGGGAGAATGAGTGTCCAGTAGAGTGTCAACCTCTACTTTTTCCTGTCCTGATTATTGCTCGAGTTCACTCATATTCTACACATTTGGATCCATTTCACGTTCACTTGGCTGGTTGTGAGTGAACCTAGAAGACCTGGTTTGAAGCCCTAGTTTCCCATGAGGAAGGCAAGTACAAAATGCTGTTTCATGACTCTCGGAGGAAATAGAACATTGCCCAGAATCCATCTTATAAATAGTCTTTCTCAGAAAACAAGAGGACTGAACTGGGAAGGAACTATGTTTGGGATAATCTTATCCTTATCGGGTGCCTTAAAGACATGGTAAGTCATGATACAACAAATAGTTTCCTTTTGTAAAAAGCAACAACAAAAGCAACGTCTCAATTAACCCCAAGTAGGCGTATGGCTAAATAACAGCAAAGGCATGCTGCAAATTCAAAAAGGAATCTTGTCAACCAGTGGACTGGTCCGCCTCCTGATTTTCCAGTCTCCTTACGTGACTGGAACTCCTGGCGTCCCAGAGCTGCTGCCCCAGGCTGCTCCTTCTCTTACCTCCCCTCCTGAAGTTCCCGTTGGTGCTTTTCCAAGAGCTCCTTGTGCAGCTGCGCTTTCTCAAGAGCGTGCTTCTCCGCCAGGCTCTGCAGCTGCTCCTGGTGAAGGTGCTCTAGTTCCTGAGTTAAGTCTCTCACCTTCCCTTCTGCCCAGGCGCCCTCGTGAAGGAGTCCTTCCCTTTCTCGGTCAAAGCTTTCCTCTACCTGCGCCAGCCTGGCCTGGAGCTCTACTTCATGTTCCAGTCTCAGCTTCTCCTGCAGATGGGTCCGTTCTTCATCGAACTGCCGTCGCAGTTGCCTTTTCTCCTCCTGGTGTCTGCAGGTAGCCTCGTGTTGTGCCTCCTTTAGCACCACTGCCTGTTCCTGAAGTCCGGTGATTTCGTTTTTAAGGCCACTGATCTGCTTTTCCAAGGCGTGCACTTGCCCCTCATACTGCTGTCTCATGCGCTCCTGCTCCTTTCCGCAGGTGAGCCTGGTGTCGTCTAGCTGGTTTTCATAATGGCGGACCTAAAAGCACAAAGTGAAAGCACAACCAGATGATCTAACCCCCGGCCACAGATCGGAGAGTGATGAGGGGCGCAGAGCAGCAAGTATTGTTTTCTGTAAGACACTCTTCTGTTTTCCCATTTTGTTTTAGAAATTAACTTCAATCAAGAAAATTTAAGGAACAAAAGAAAAACTAAGTAGGATAAGCTTTCCTTTTAAGCCAGGCTGAATTGTATTCGTTTCTGGACATCCCTATTAAAAATTGAGACGACCTTCAAACAAAACATTTGTCTTCCAGTGCATCCTTTTAAGCAGTACGCATAAAAGTGTAAAATAATTCAATTCAAATATTTACTGAACACCTCTTGGGCCTCATGGGAACACGAAGTGGGTAAGACATAGTCCCTGCCATGAGGGTGCAACCAGGATAGACGTGGTTATGCCAACGACAAACAAGGATACCACACAAGGCCGCGTATAAAAATAGAAGGCATGGAGAAAGATAAGAAGCTACAATGTAAAATGGGAGCACAACAGGGAGGAAACCCACGCTTGGTTGAGGAAATTCACAAAGCGTTTCATGACAGAAGCGGCCTTTGATAGACATGCTGCATGGGAGTAGATTTTCAGGAAGTACGAGTGTGAGCAGAGATAGGGTGGCACAAGAGGATGGACCCTGATGGAGAGCAGTCAACTACCTTATTTGGCAGGAGGCTAACTTAACTCAAAGATGGTGACAGAAACCTGGACGGGTACGTAGAGGGGCTGGAAGCCCAAGGGTCACAGCCTGCATCTAGCTCAGTAGCTAATGCTGTATCAAAGAGCTTTCTATGGCACGAACCCACAGCAGCCAGTTAGATGCAAGCTTGAGTATTAGCATGTTATCAGGTTGGAAATAATATTATAGCCTCTAAGAGTCAAATTTCACATTGGCCAGAGCTGAAGCTACTACAAATTGGGGAAATCTTCTCCCAGGAGGACCAGGCCTCTCTCAGCCTATAGGACCAGTCTAAGGGAGTGGCTTTGGGTAGCTACTAGACAGGGCAGGAAATGCATACAAGTGTACATGCTGAGGAATAAAAACTGGGAATGCCCTGCAGGCAAAGCCCCTTCCAACTCAAGCTAGAGAACTGGACGGGCAGGGACTTACTTTCTCTTCAAACTCCAGTCTCAGGCGACACAAATCCCGGTGGTGGTGCTCTTTCATCTGCTCAATCACCAGCTCCGCCTCAATGCTCATGTTCAGGGGATTGCACCCTTCGGAACCAAGCCCTGAAAACACAGGGACCACTGACAAGGGGGCAGACGCTTCAAATAACAACCTGGCCTTTGAGGGGGACAGCCAGTTAAACTAAGAAAGAATTAGTAGCCTAAATTGCTCCAGAGGTGACTTACGATGAATCCATGGCTGATCAGTCGATTCCCACTTAGAGAGAACCCGTCACAGAAGAGAATGGCTCCCCAGGGTTTCTATTGCTACTGTCTCGTTACTTGGAATCTAATCTCTAGAGAAGCACATCTGCGGGCTCCTTCTGTGGTGTCACTCGGTGGGCTCAAGCCAGAGCAAATCTTCAGATCAGTAGCTGAGTGTAAGCCATGTCTGCTACCCAGAGCCCTCTCAAGGGGGAGGCAGCAAACAGATGAAGGGGAACAGAGTCCTCCTTCTAGGAGTCCTTCCTTCCATCAAATCGTAACAAAATCCCTCTTTGGAACAGCAGGTAGGCAGAGATCAGTAGAGCAACTGCTGCTTCAAGAAGACCCCTACGTGAAAATGCCGCATGATGAGGTCATTTGGTGAAACCAGCCAGTCATTGGCCCATCCAACAGCACTGAGTGACAAGTCAGTAACAGGGCCACTGGTCATGGGGATGGATGGCCGGCAACATACTTGCTGCTCTGTCTAAAAGACTTCCCTTCCCAGGGCAAGAGAGCTAGTGTTCCCCTCAACATTTCAGCTAACTAGGCATTGTAATACGAATTTTTTACAATGTGGAAGGAACTACATCTTAAATTATCATCTAAATTTAAAAACAGAGTATACGTTAGGGACCTGGTTATAGGCAGTTTATTCATATGAGTTCACTTCTGTAACTCCCCTTGATGACGCCTAAGAGGGACACTGGTTGAAATGTGAAGCCTGTCTTGGGAGCTGACCTAGTGTAGAGACACAATGGTCATGTGTAATAGTATGTAGAAACTATTCCAGTGGGTGGTGTTGATGGGATACTTTCAGATGGAGAAAGAGATTCTTCTGGGCTGGGTCCAACAGTTCAGACTGCCGGTCTTGCTCTGACCTCTCTCTTCCTCCAAGTGACACCTGGGCTATGAGCCACCCACGATGGTGCAGCTTCATTCACCCCAGTACTTTGTCATTCATGGGAAAGCCCAGAAGCAGCCCCCGAGTTATAGCATCAGTTGGACTCCATCCTTAGACTACAATCAGTGAGCCAAGAGCCAGAGAAAAGGCCTTACAGCTTCTCCCTTCCTCCTCCCCAGCCACTTATTTCACAGTGAAACAGGAGAGGAGGATAAGCCACCCTGCAAAAACGTACGTTAGTTAGTCGGGAAAATGATTTGTAACAGAGAAAACTGGTTGGAAGCCCTAATTAGGGTTTCTGAAATTGAAACTCAATACACCTGAGGAAAGAGGCAGGCTGCCAGGAAGGAGGAAAAGGACTCCTGGCGAATGGAGGCGAGGTCTCAGACAACTCTACCTTCTCAGCGCCCCACTCAAAGTCTTCCTCAAAGGCATAGGAGGCTGGTCCTCAGTCCTCGATGATCTTACTGTTCTGCAGAAGCACCACTGACGGCACAGCCAGCAGAAGAGAACCAGCTTTGGGTTCTGTGGTCTCTGGCTGGCCCACTCTCCAAAACCACTTTCATATCAGCTACACACTCTTAAAAAGGGAGGATTCAGCAAGAACTCGTGCCTAAATTCTAACACTCCAAAGGACTGGATTCTCAGATTTGTGGCCAGTTTTGTTGTTGGTGGTTTGGTTTGGTTTAAAAACTGAGCAAATACCCTTGTGGCTTGATTTTTCCATTCCTTTGTGGAAGCGCATCCAAATCAGACGGAAATATTTTCAAGACAACTTCAAGGACAAACTGAAAACAAGACCTCAAGCAAAACAAATCAAGACAATGCTATTGGCTATTTTTTTCCCTCGCTTGCTACAATTTTGCAGTCTAACATTTAACCATGATCCTCAAAACAAAGGCCAATGGCAGAGATTCTGGAAAGTGGTTGGTGTTTGAGTATGTTTACCCTGGTCAGGCTCAATGCCACCGCAGGTACCATCCAGCTCTTCTGATAGGGAGCTCTTCCCGGGGACTCTGAAGACTTTGCCTTGTGCACGGTATTCCTCCAGCTCCGACTGCAGTTCATCCACTTGGTCTTGTAACACCTGGGATGGAAAAGCCAACGCAGGTCATTGTTAAACCTCTGTGCTGCAAAGGACACCATCCACTTACAGGAGGTGCTAGAACAAGTAAGTCTATGGGGCGGCAAGTAGTGACTTGGTCTCTGAGCATGGGGACATGGGAAAGATCACAGTCCAGGTACAAGACTTGCTTTCTGGATCCTGAAAATGGTCTCAAACAGCTTTGGGTGACAGTTGCATAACGGTACCCATGAGGAGGCTTCAAGAAGTTCCTGGACAAAATGCCATCATCATGGAAGTCCATTTTTTCCACGAACTTTTTGAAGGCCCTCTATACAATGACCTTTAAAAGGCTGAAGTGCACAGTTGGCAAAGCTGTGAAAAAAAGAAGTGGCCAGAATTGGGTGACTTGGTTTAGGGAGAGCTGACAGATTTCAACGAAAGGACATGCAGGAAAACAGTTCTACGTGATCAGAGTCAAGAGTTCATGGTAAAAAGCAGCAGCAATGTTTAATTTCCTGTCTCAAAATGCGCGCCCCCATTGGCTGAAAAAGCAGGCAGCGAGAAACCACAAGAAAAGGCACGGTTTCCTAGTCTCTGGTCAACAGCAATTCTCGTCTAAAGCAGTGGAATTCAGTGCTACTTACCTTGTTAAAACAAGAAAGTCTTTGCTGTTTCAGGGGGGAAATAAAACCCAAATGGCTAAAGTCTGGGGAAGTGCTTTTTAAAATGAAACAAAACAAACTGCCCGCATGGAGTCAACTCCTGCTCACAGCGACCCTGTCAGGACAGGGCGGACCTGCCCCCGGGGGCTTCTAAGACCGTACCTCTTCCCGAGAGAGAAAACCTCATGATTCTCTTGAGAAGCAGGTGGTTTCGAACTGCTGACTGCGTGCCACCAGCCCAACATGTAACCGACTAACTCCCAGGGCTCCTCTTCACAATGAGAGGTTCTTGTTATTTATAAGCCTATTTTGTCCTTCCTGGGAGGCATTTGCCACCTCCAGCCTGGCTGGGTGGTTTCTGTCCCACTGCATCTTGTAAAGCCAGTAAAGGATGGCTGTGGAGAGGGGCGGGGGAAATGTCCAATCCTAGAAGGACCACACATTCTTCCACTGGGAATAAAACCCTATTTTCCCTCCAAACACTTGCAACTTCTGGCCTAGATAAAGAAGACTTACAGGCAGTTTGCACGATTCCCTAATACAGCAGTTCTCAACCTGTGGCTGGGTTGAGACCCCTTTGGGGGTGGAACGACCCTTTCACAGTGATTGCTTAACTCTTAACAGTAGCAAAATGGCAGTTATGTGGCAACGAAAATAATGTTAAGGTTGCGGGGTCACCACAACATGAGGAGACTGTATTAAAGGGTCCTGGTATTAGGAAGGTCGAGAAACACTGTCCTAGTACCTCAGGATATTGAGTAGTGACATTAATAGCTAATGTCTGAGCAAGTGCCTCCTAAGGGCCTGGCACTGTTGTAAGCATGTTACTCAGATTCACTCATTGAATCTTCCCAACAGCCCTCCTCAACAGACTCTCGGCTTTTCCATGTTAAAGAGGAGGAACCGCAGCTCACACAGATCAAGCGGCTGGCACACCGTCGTGTGGCCGGGGAACAGTGGTGGGGGGCCACCCACTTACGCGGCACTGCTGCTCGTACTCGTGCCTCAGCTGCGCCAGCCTCTCTTCTTGCAGAAAGAATTCAGCACTGCTGGGATCAAGGTCACCAAACTAGAAGAAGAAAAGACAAGGCTGTCATTTCCCCTCCCATGTCCCTCTCTGACCTGTAACATGCCCTTGGACCCATAACGGGCCCCAGTTTTCTCATGAGTATGAAAGGAATGTGACACTTCTGCAAAAACAGCGCTGGATGGAGGGCATGCTGGAGCAGTTTCCCAAAGTAGGCAATGCCACCCCCTGGTAGCTCCCTACATTTTATCCAGATTTATGGGCTATAGTACAAAGGTGTTTAATTGCCGGGGGTGGGGGTGGGGGCACTGAATAACATTGTTTCTGGAAAGGGAGCAGGAGGCCAAGTAAGTTTGAGGAGCTACTTGCTAGCGTGACGGGCTCAGCAGGCTGTGCTTCCCGGGGCCATGCAGCTGCTTCCCAGCGACCAGGGCGCAGAGGACAGCTTCCTTCGCAAGTCCCACCTCTCCTCTGGGAAGTGACCCTGGCACTCTCTGGGCTGCACACAGGAGAGCAGGCTGAAACACGCTTACCTTCTCTGCTAACACGCTGTCCAAATTCCTCTGAAGTCTGCTTGTCAGATGTTCATATTCGGCCAGTTTCTCTGCGTTCTCCACGAGCTCCTTTTCCAGACGACTGTTTTCCTGGAGACAGTGAACACGACGTGGATGGGAAAATAAGCAACCGTCTGTACCAGCTGAGCGCAAGCACGCGCCAGTGCTTAGGGGCGCAAACTCGCCTAGCTCGAGGAGCTCCAGGGGCACAGGAGACCAAAGTGAATATGAAATCTGACATCGATCCAAGAACCCCAAACCTGACTCTTTTTGCAAACCTGTCAAATTGTACTCTGTCCACCAGCATAGGAACCCTGGCAGCCACGTGTGGCCAGGGAGCACTTGAAATCTATTTGGGACAAAGTGAGGTGCTGTAAATAGACAGTGCACACTAGATTTCAAATAGTACAAAAATGAAAAACATTTTTATATAGTTGCATTACATGTCAAAAATGGTAACTTTTTGGCAATATTGGGTTACATGAACAATTTGAAATTAATTTCACTTGTTTCTTTCTAGATCTTTAATGTGGCTCTTCACAGATCTGATGATCTATGTGGCTTACATTATGTTTCTGCGGAACAGCACTTTCGTAGAACATTTAACAACATGAAATACGTTCTTAAATATATTGTCAAAGAAAACTGATGATAAAATCCAGGAACAGGAATGGGAGTAGCGAAACCAGGAAGGTGGGGAGAGGAGGTGAGGAAGGGGCAACCGACTGTGATGATCAATCCATCAACACATAACCATACCACCCCACCCCCCCCACAGGGGGATGAACAACAGAAACTGGGGGAAGGGAGACAGCAGATAGTGTGAGATATGAAAATAATAATTTATAATTTATCAAGGGGCCAAGAGGGTGGGGGGGAGTGGATGGGGAGAAAGAGGAGCTGACACCAAGGGCTCAATAGAAAATAAATGTCTAAAAAATGGTGATGGCAACATATGTACAAATGTGCGATACAAATGATGTATGGATTGTTGTAAGAGCCCTCAATAAAATGTTTGTTTGCAACACCTTGTTCAGCTGTCAGCAAAAAAAGAACTCAGAAATAACTGTAAAAAGTTGGATAACTATAGTCAATTTTTAGTTAGTTTGGTTTATAGTTAATTTATATATTTATTTTGGCTTTAAATATCTAAAAGCCACATTATAAGTTGTTCATAAATTTTTATTTTAATGGAAAGCAAGGTTTCTCCCACCAGACTTTACTCCTTTTACCCTTTCTTAGGAATTAGGTAAAAGTTTACAGAGCAGATCAGTGCCCCCTTCAACAATCCATACGCTTTATTTGATTTCATTGCTTGCAATCCCCACAATATAGCATCACTTATCCCTTTCCTTCCCCCATTTCCTGTCCCTATTCCTTTCTCTCCTAAGCCTTCTGAACTCTGTCCTGGGGTAAATGCTTCTTTGATCTCAAACGGTTGATTATTCTAAGGTGTGTGTATTCCCCTAAGGTTACTGATCCCTTCATAAGCCTGCTGTTTGACTCAAAACTGAACTTTGGGGCTGCGTTCCTTCCTAGCCTCACACGTTACTAAGAAGGGTAACGAAGGGTCTTAATCTTGGGGGTCTCAGCAGTCTCTGTATGACCAGTAAGCTTGGTCTTGTTGATGATTTTGAGTCCTGTTCTACATTTTCCCCCAACTTATGCATGACTGCTAATGTAATTCCTTTCAGATCAATTAATAGCGGTAGCAGGTACCACCATCTGGTCAAAGAGTTACGGAGACTGATGCCCATGGGGCCAGCTCATTAGTTCTCTGGACTAATAGTTTCTCTATGTCTTTAGTTTTCTCCACCTATCTTTCCTCCAAACAGGGAGAGATCATAGTTTCATCTGAGGTGGTTGCTCATGAGCTTTTAAGACCCCAAACGCTACTCATCAAAGTAGGTTGTCGAACACTGTCTTTGTGGACTTAAAAAAAATTTTTTTTAATTTAAAAGGGTTTGTATCTAAGGACGTGGGAAGGACTTCAAAAAAGTTAATGGAAAAATTCCATTACCTTTCAATTCCATTTTCCCACAAACTTCTTGAAGCCCCTTCATAGAGTATTGTTCAGTCTGATTTTGACACACATTTGTACAAAAGTATACATGAGTAAAACTGTAGACATGCCAATTCCTTGACATATTTTCTTCTCCAGTGTTACAGACTGACTAGAAGAACATAAAGTGCATTGTGCCAAAGGAATATAAAGCCAGTATATTTTTAATGCATCCTCGTTCACACTCTCACATAGCAATATGGAGTGAAAAAATAATGTATTTGAAGCATTAAGGAAAAAAACCCCTATCTTCCTCTCCAAATGCCAACTCTACAACTCTAATCATTCAAAGTGCATCTAAGTTTAGATGTGGAAACAGTAAGGAACATTCTGTGTGTGCTGGATGAACACTGTGCTGGTACTCTGGAAACAGACACAGCGGGCAGTGTTACTGACCACACGGAATACCCGAGCTGGGCCTGAGGAGGGAGACAGACAGGGATGCATCCCTCCGTAACACAACAGGAAACGCACTACGAGCTCTGTCTGCGGCGAGTGTCTGGGGCCCCGATGGACGGGAAGTGTGCTGGAGTTGAGGTGCACGGAGCTAGGTTGCTGGTAAGAGGTGACATTAGAGAGGAGTGATGATGAGCCCCCTGTACTGCCAATGTGTTTTTACCACCACGATTCTATTTGATTTCCAGGGAGGCAACTCGGGCAGCCATGCTGTTGCTGAGTTGATTCCAATTAAGGAGACCCCATGGACAAAGAGTAGTCTGCTCCATCGGCTTTTCAAGGCTGATCTGTGGAAGCAGACCACCGGACCTATCTTCCAAGGTACCTGTGGGTGGGGCTGAACCACCCACCTTTCATCTAATAGCCGAAGTGCTTCACTCGTGGGAGCCCTGGAGCCCTCGTAGGGAGGCTGTCTGCTGGACGGAAGGGCCAAGGGAGGAAAGGACGGGTCAAGATCCACATTGGTTAGGAAGTAGGAGGATTTCTAGACTTATTTCAGAGCATATGAAAACGGGGAGGAAAAGGATAAGGCCAAGCGATATCTCTGAACACCGTGGGTCTTAGGAAACTGATTAACGTTGACCGAGTGCAGGCGACTGAGGATTTTAGTCTGTGACAAACAGCACACGGCACTGATGTAGATTCGGGAGAGGAGGAAGGAGAGTTTGCGGTTTGCTGGCTAGCGAGATAATGAGCTGTTTCTGGTGTGTGGCATTTCAAAAACCTTTCCTAGTAGCTAAAAAAGTGAACATTTCACCTGTTTTTCTTACTTTACAGACACTGTAGACGTAGCGTCTCGCTTGATCCCATCAACCCTATGGGGTCCTCATCATTCTGGGCCCTTTTGTGCACTAGTAACCAGGCCTGGGTAACTTGCTCAAGGTTTGATAGTAAGTGGTTGTTGGTGCTGGTATCTGAATCAGGCAGTCTGGTCTCTAAACGATCCTGCATCAAATAACCTGCCACCAGAGTGCGGTCAACAGGAGGACTGCTCCCCACTACTGAGGCAGCAGGAGAGGTGGGGAGGGTGTATCAGGAGAAAGGCTCATTTGGAGGCAGAAAGCAGCAAAGCCCGCAGCTTGTGTGTGGGAGGACTGAGGCCATCTAAGCGCTGGGGGCAGGGGCGCAAGCAGCAGCTAGGGGGGAATGGGGAGAGGCTCCCTGGCGCCAAACAGCCCAGAGGACTCAGAACAACTTCAGGGGTAAGAAGAACAAGGTGCTCTACACAACGCAGTTGACAAATCAGAAGCCTGGATACCCCTAAAATCCAGATCCTGGCAAGCGCCTTGTCTCAGCTGTGCAGACATGCCCTCTTGACACCCTGGGTGTTCCACGTTAACCCGTGACCTGTGTCCCCAGCGGGAACACACACTATAGAACTCACAGGACGCTTACCTTTAGCGAGAGGGCGAGGCGGTCCCGGATGTAGTTTTCTTCCGCTTTTGCCTTTTCGATTTCCTGTTCGAGGTCTAAGCGCTGCTTGCCAATCTGCTGCAGGAGCTGCTCTCTCTCCTTGCGGAGCTCATTCTTCAAGGCGGCTGTGCGCTCCTTGTACTCCTCATCCAGTTTCCTGTGGGGAGGGCCGACCAAGACACCGCCATCAGCTCCCCCAGGGCTGCACCCCCAATGCAAAGACAAGTGCAAAGGACCCTGAACAACGACTGAACATGGCCTGCTGTTCTTTGGGTTCGGACCACATGGAAAACACTGCAGCCTGGTGAGGCCAAGCAGGCAGGGAGCGTGGGGCCAGGGTGCGGGAACGGAAGGCCCTAAGCCGACCAGTCACACCTGAGGTTGTGCTCATTGCGCCGCTCGATGGCCGCATGGTGATCGTCCACCTCCATGGCCATCAGAGACTTGAGCTTCTCGGCCTTATCCAGATCCGACCGCAGCTTCTCTTTTTCTCTGACTACCTGATCGACTCGCTCCCTAGAATCAGAAACAAACTGAGTGAAAGGAAGGCTATTTCTGAGCAACGAGTAGATCCAAAAGAGCTCTAATCTGATGCGCTCCAACACAAAAGCAAAACCAAGACAACCGAAGCCCTCATGAAACAGGAAAGCGAGAAGGCAGCCCACAGCTCCCTTCAAAAGCCTGCTCACGAGTCTAAGCTCTACCTCATTGTCCTACAGTGTAAGAGTTATGCGGTACTTAGAAGTAATAAGAAATAGCCATATTTGCATAGAGGCTGGGAGAGCGTTTATCACAGGCTGGGACTGCCAGATCACGAGGAAAGGGTCAGAGCAGCGAACAGGCTGCTGGACTCACAGCAAATGCCGGATCTCCGCCTTAAAGCTGGCCAGCGCCGCCTGGTGAATGCTGTTCTTGGTGACCAAAAGTTCATTTTCAAAAGCCAGGGTCAATTCCATCAGGTTGACATTTCCATCAAGACTGAAATCCAAGGCCTAGAAATCAAAACCAGGCTAAGTTTAAGACAATTACACATTCCATCCTCTGAAAGCAGAAAGCAGGAAGGCTCACGACACACAGATACCAGAATTTATGGTTAAAAGACTGGACTGATTGCATTTTAGTGATTGCTTAGTGTGATCGTGAAGGTTTATTGTGTCAATGTCAACCTGGCCAATGAACACATGTGGGATTAATTAAAGGGCGAAGAGATCAATGGTTCGGCGAGCCTCGTCTTTCTTGTTTCTTGTTTTCTGATGGTTGGACCAGTGTGCAGCTGCCTTAGCTAGTTCTCTGCCTCCGCTGGCAAGGCTCACTTCCTGCAAGACATCCCTGAGGAGAAGCCACATGGACCTATCCTGATGCAGTCCTGGGTGCTGGAGCAGCCGCTTGGAGATCCCTGCCAGCGCTGAGATGCTGATACGCTCACTGATTCTGCTTTCCTCCTGTAGTCGACGTCATTGCGTGTGTTTTGTGAGGCTTGGATTGGACTGGGCTGGGAGGCTTAATGCACCATTACCCTTTATATAAAACTCTCATAAAATATGAGTGTTGATGAATTTTGTGTCTCTAGTCTACCCAGACGAACACACTTAGGAAGAGTGTTTATATTCTAGAACATGTCTAAGTTCTCTGTAAGAAAACCATATAAACATATTTGTATGTCTGTTAAAAACAGTATCTAACACTGAAAATAAACTCAGTAGTGTAATTCTAATCTTCCAAACAGAGATCGAATCAGATCCTTTTCCTCTGTCAATGGTTTAGGGCTTAATAACAAGGAAAACAGTTTGCAATAGATTCCTGGCTAAAGAAAGTGTGAAAAGTTGTCACTTATGGGGATCTGAAGTCATTACGGAAAAACAAAATCAAATCACAGTTTTAAAAGAAACTGGAGCTTTGTAACTCTTCCCCGATTTGTCACAAGTCTTTTAGATGCCACACCTTCAGGATCTCCTGACTGTTCTCAACGCCTTCTTCCTGCCAGGTGTCAAGGATTCTCTCTACAGACGCATAGCCCATCCCGTCATCCAAGCAGGAAAACACCCGAAAGCCAATGGTACTTGTCATTGCCGACAGGGTTGTGGTTCGCCGTCCACTCTCATCAAAAGACTGAAGGAAGACAGAGAATTGAGCAAGATCAGCTTAAGTCCAGGCATTCCAACAAGAAGTTGGCCAAGAGTAGAACAGGTCAGTCCAACCCACAATGAGCAGCAGGCACGCTTCCAGAATACACACTGCTGGAAAAAGGGGTCATGGGCCCCTTCCATCTCTCCTAAATGGACCAAGAATGCAAAGCTTATCAGAAACAACTGGCTTGGTCGAATCCTTTGAGAGAGATGAGACAGGTCACTGTTTCACATCAGGATTCTCCTGACCCACAGCTGACACTAAGAGGTGTAATTAGTGGCTTTTCCACACTGTAATTTATGGTCCTTTCTCAAACCAAACTTTCCCTTCCCAGTGGGGTTTAGTCTTTTGTCCCCTTCAGTTTTCTTCTCTCCTTATAAATATTGTTCTCCAGATAACAAATTCATGGAAAACGATCCAATGAGTTGCTGGGTCTACCCACAAAGAAACTGCTTCCTATTATCGCTTACCTGCATGGAGAGGTGCCTTTTCAACTGTCTGTACGGAGTAGATACTGATGGTGTGAGGGACTTTCCATTCTTGAACAAGCCATAGAAAAACTCTTCCACACTCATGGTACCATCAGGGTCAAGGTTATGGAAGACATCCTCCAGCGTCTGGAAAAGGAAAACCACACATAGCGCAAGCCTCTCCCTCTCAATAACGCAAATGACACGTCTGGCCGATAGAAGCCAGCTCCGTTACTGATTCCAGGAGCCCGGAGGTGGGGGGAGGGGAGGTCCTTGCACTGAGCTTATTTCCCTTTCCAGAAATGACATGTCCTTTTCACTCCCACAAACGAAATAAAAGTCAGTTTTCAACATCCTCCTGGTCTTATGCAGTTTAGCAATGATCTGTTTTCTCTTTCACTCACACTCCTAGGACAGGTAACTAGACAGGTGAAAAAAAAAAAAGCATCACTCCCAGGGTTAGAGTTCATACATTCAGGGGTTTATTCTAAATGAAACCTGTTCAAATGTGTCTCTAGGATCAGTGGACGGCTGTAGACAAGTTTCCTCAAGAATACACTTGTCTTAGTCTCCAGGTTGAGAAGAAGAAGAAGTGGGGGGAAAGTCCAACTGAAAGAGTGGCTGCCAAGGGGATCTGCTGGGCCAATTAGACTCAAGCCAGACAGGTCAGCACAGAAGCGTGGTGACAGTTTGGGGGACTCCCAGTGGATAATGTTGACAACGTTTCTCAAAGGACACAGGATGATCATGGGCTTCTTCGAAAGACATTTTAAGAAGATGGAAAACTGCATTGTAAGAAAAAGAAAATGCCGGGAGAACTGCACCAGGAACTTGATGTCCATCGTGACCACGCACCTGCTCACTCTCTCCGGGTTGCCAGGACTGCCCTGCGAGATCTGTGTTTGACACCTCACCCCCTCCGTCCTAGAGTTCTGACCTCACCCCTTCTGACTGCTTTCTTGTTCCTCAAACTCGAACGACACTTAGCGTGAGTCCACTGCGATGCCCTGACTACTGGCTTGGTATGGAGTGTATCAGAGTGTGGAATTCTTTGGGGAAGGCTGGGAGATGAACACACCACCTTCAGAACACAGACCTAGATGGGAGGGATGTTGAGAAGTAACACATTTTGATGTTTTTGCTTCATTCATTTTGTAACAATACTTTTAGACTTACCCTCATACTTAATGTTCTTGCTTGCTACTCATACATAAAAAGATTACCGTATATACTCGTGTAGAAGTCAAGTTTTTCAGCACATTTTTAATGCAGCTTTTGTAGTAAAATTAGGTGCCTCGGCTGATAATCGGGTCGGCTTATTCTCGAGTATATAGCTACTTAAAAATATATAAAGACATAGCTTCCCGGCATTGTGAGAACAGAAATTAGTTGGCCATTCATTAAGCCTTTTTATTGTGGCAACTCTCAGGGTATTTTGCTTATGCTGAGATTTTGAAATGGGTATGTTGGCATAGCAGCGGGGCCTGGGACGGGTGGCAATGATGTAAGCGTTTGGCTCTGAAGCCCATGATTTGGGGTTTAGGACCTTATTTGAAACAACACTTCATGCACATCCTATTTCAAGACGATTGCTACAATTACTATCATCTTGTAATTGTTGATCTTACTCCTTATGTGTTTCAGGCATTTCTTTTATCTCAAAAGCTTTCTCCCCAATTCACATTCAGTAGAAAATATGTGTCTTTTCTTTTTCTTTTTTTATACTACTTTCTCTGGAGAGGACTTTAGGATACCCTGAGACAAGAAAACCATTCTAAAGAGTGAAAAACTTTGGAAAAAGCAAAAGTTACTAATAGCGAATCTTATGATCAATCCACAAAAGTGGTATGTGGGGAAAGATTCTGAGACCCCAAGATCCCTCAGCTTCCCTCCTTGTTCTCATAAACCAAACGAATACTTTCTTAGAGGAATACTTTCAGGACCACCAAACTAGAAATTACGGTAAAATTCAGATGTGCTGATTAGAGTTAACAAGGTAATGTTTTAGAATCAATTCAATGGCAGTGAGTTTGGTTTTCCAGTTGATCTTAGATAAACACTTCCTGGCTAAATCAATGCACAGCCACCAGATGGCCTAAATGCCTATCATCTGAGCTCTTCCAAGTGGTGGAGCAGCCGAGTTGTGTCATTGATTTTTAGAAGGGGGAGAGGGTAAGGAGTGAAGAGAAGGATATGGGTCCAGAAGAGAGTGGGTAGGCTGAGATTGGTTAGAAAGAACTCCGGTTAAATGACCATTGGGGTGACCCGGCAAAAGCAATTATCTAGAATTGTGGGAGGAAAGTTTTAGTCCCATGATACCAGCCAGGTCTTTGGGTGGCTGGTTTCCCAATGTGTAAGTTGGGAACCCAGATATCCACAGAGGCCAGGAGGTGGGATAAATTAATGACAGAGGATATCTTAAAAACACTAGATGTAGCAGGGAATGAGATCAGAAGAATAGGATGGTGCTAGGCAGCCTCACTCAATGTTTTGATCAAAGACTCAACAGATGGAAGAAAAGTGTGGACCAGATTTTCAAACTCCTATGGAAACTAGACTTGCTGCATCCATGCTGACTAGGGAAACCCTTGAGTCTAATGCTCGGAGATAATCTTTTGACCTTGAATAGCAATGATCCTGTGAAGCTGTCACGAATCCAAATATGTGTAGCCCAAGTGATGAAGGGCATTTGCCTCAAGCATAGCACACTTGAGAAGAACTAACCGTAGCGTTTAAACCGACCCCAGTTCATCCACAGGCCAGCTGAGAACTTTAGAGGGGCAGAGAGAGTAAATTAGCAGGGATGAAACAACATGACCAGAAACAGTGAGGTGAGATATGTAACCAAAGTTAACGAGCCCAAACAAGCATGGGTGCATGCACAGAAACTAGCTGCTTCTCACCGTCAGTCACACGGAACCAAATCTTGTAATTTTTAGAAATATCTTCTAAATTTAAAAATCTTCCAATTTTTGAACTGTTGGGTGGGCCAAATAAAATAGCCCTTGGGCTGGAATCGGGCACTAGGCACTAGGCCTGCCTCCTCTGGTTGGCAGTGTCCTCGCTCCTAGAGGGCAGCACTATGGGGGCAGTAAGCGGGCGGGCTGGTTCCCTGTCATGGAGGCAGCAGTGGGCAACGGTGACCTCACTTTCCTCTTCTATAAAACGAGGGGTGACCCAGTCTTTAACCGCTGTCGGTGGAAAATCTCTCCGATCCCAAGTTATATGCTGATGAGGTCATCCTGAGCTCCAGCCCCTTGCAGTCTAGACTGAGCAACAGAGACAACTACAGCATTTCATGATCCTTCTTCTTTTTTTTTAAAGGAAGAAACTACTAAGTAAAAGCTAATATCCAATAACATTTTTTTTTTTAAGTCAGCCTACGACCAAAGGAAAATAACTAAATGTGCTACTTCTTGCCCTGGATTTTGGAAATGGCTCCACAAGAAAATACAACTTCCCCACAAATGACTGCTGTCTATTCCAAGGAATTAGTTCTAGATAAATAACCCAAGTTTGTGTAATAGTTCTTGGCAAAAACAACCCAAGGTTCTTTATACGGCACCAGCGTGTAATTTAGGAGGATGCCTTTAATCTTATGAGTCAACAAGCACCATTGGCATAAAAGTCTTACCCCTCAGACTTGCCAAAGACAATCAAGGGCACAAACGCCAAGGAGAAGGAAGAAAGGGTTCCTGTAGACCAGGCCACTTGGAAGCTGATGATAATAAAATTCTTTCTTGTTGGGAAAAATAATACCACTTATCCCCTGAGCAAGCAGACAGAAGGGATTCAAATATCATTATCATCCAAGATTCCTAAAGGCTACCACTCTAGTCCCAATTTCCCTCTCCAATTCTTGTTTTCAAAGACTTGGAATTATATTCTTTTGTTTCAAAACTATTCACCCTTCCAGTTGCCTCTCTTAATTTTTCAGAAAATATGAAAGTTTAGAGTCTTACTATGAAAGTAGAGATGAGTAGGGGCTTCTTCAAGACTTTCCTTTGTGTTTTTGAAAATCACCAACCTCCTTCATTTTCTCATGAGTAGAATGTGCTGATGACTACTTGGCAGGGTTTCCCAGCCCTAGGTCTCCTTACATCCATATGTCCAGTTAAAGAAGCTCAGATCATCTTCTGCACATGTTCCCCCGCCCCCTCCATCTGTGGCTCAACCTGCCTAAGAACCCGAATGATAAACTCATCAGCTTTCCAACTCAACGCAGTTCTACTGAGCTCTTCACTTATTCTTATTTCCCCACTTTCGCTGTATCAACACCACCGTGCTCAGTTCACTGACAGCGCCTGGAAGGAAGGGGCTCAGAGAGTGTTTCTGATCACCAGTTTTCCTGCTGCTGTTCCCACAACACAATGTGAACTCCTCAAAGGCAGAATCCGCCTGGCTGACATCCTTGGAGACAAGAGCAGACGGAGCCCCTCGACTGGGCCAGTTGGTGGCCCTGGCGTTGGGGGGGTTGAGGCCATCGGAGGCCCCCTGATAGAAAGGGTAGACAGCCGACTGCTGCAAAGCAAGCTCTCGGACACCCTGTGGTGGGCTGTGCTATGCTGACGCACATGGAGTCGCCTGGGCAGGAATAGACTCGAAAACCACAACGTGTGTGTGTTTAAAAAACTATGTTTCAGGAAGCCACAATATGGCTATTCCTAGGCACCAGATGGGCAGTTTACCGATGACCATGACTTGTATTCCTGAACAAAAACCTCAGGAAGGTTACCTCTCCATCGATGTTCTGTAAACCGTACTGCTCACAGAGAGAGAGCAGCTTCTTCCGGTTCAGGTGGCCGTCGCGGGTGACCCCCAGATCTTCACACACCTCCTGCAGCTTCTCTTCGAGCCAGTCTTGGGGCGGGGAAGGCCCACTTTGAGAGGCATTCAAGTTATCCGGGTTCCAAAACCGTAATTGGCCTGAAACAAAGGCATGGATTGTGCTGTCTCCCCAGGAATTGCACAGAGGAGCGCCTGCTCTCCAAGGAAAATGTCCTTTGGAAAGTTAGCAGGATGAGAAACAAGATTACAAATGTTCATTCTGTCATTATTTGATCCTGAAGTTCAAATGAAAGGTAGCCACTCACTGGTTTATAACTACAGCTACAGCAAATACATACTGTTGACCATCGCTTGTGCTACCCTGCACCAGGTTCCAGGCTTTATTCCAACGGTATGAAAATGGGCAGTTTGAGCCCCCAACGGGCTTTAAGAGAAGGCTGGGTGAGAACCATTCCAAAGAGCTTTCAAACCCCAGTCTCAACTATAGCTACCAGACTCCATTATCTCCATTTTCTGTCTAGAAAAGAGCTGCTTTTTTCTGAGGAGAATTAGCCTACTCAGAAGTCTTTCCATACTCTAACATTCTGATTTACATTAACATTCTGAAGCCAAACAAAGCAGGATTACAAGCTGGAGGCTCCTAACTACCCACATAGTAAGGATAAGTTCTGTCTGAAGATGTAAGCAATTTCAACTTGCTAATTTACAAATAAAAACTGCATATTTATCTTCCACTAAATGTGCCTACTCTCTACTGAAGTCTTTCATGCGTATAGCAGAGATGCTGCAAAGTCATCGCTTACACGCGAGGTCACTGTTGCTGCCCTAGGGGAGCCTGAAAGAACCTTGCAGGGTTGAGACGGGCACTTAATGCCATCCCAGCCATTACTGACAGACACGAAACCCATCACTGCGTGTTCTCCAGGCTGAACCCTAGAGACCACGTGGTAACTGGGCTCCGAGGACACTGCTGACTCAGAAAGGCTGGGAAGCAGTCTCTCGGCTGTACCACGCTGCCATCTGGTGGCCGCAGTGTCCATGCAGTCTTGGGCTTAACACATCTGAAGCTTGTTCAAAGCATGCATTCTAATAAGATTGCGGCGGAGTTTAGGGGGATCACGGGATGGTGCCAACAGTTCATGAGATGGCTGCTAACCATAGGGTTGACAGTTCAAAGGTGCCTGCGAAGAAAGGCTGGCATCTACTTCTGTAAACTCAACCACTGCAAACTTATAGAGCACAGTTCCTCTCTGACACACACAGGGAGGTCCCCGAAAGTTGGACTCGACAGGGCAGTAACTAATTACTTAGTTCAGAATTGTTCACACACTAATTTAAAAGTCTAAATAGGAAAGTGATTATCTCGTAGGTGGAAGTCTGCATCTCAGTCACCATCTCTTGCATTACGCTAAATGCTCACTCATATTTGAACACTGGAGCTACGACAATTTGAAACGCTTTTTTGGTAGTTTCTGCTATTACTTTTACAGTTAATTCCCAGCTGGTTTCCCGCGGGGAAGGCTCTGGGCACAGCTCTGGGAGATACAGGGGGGCAGGGGCGGAGACACACTAAGCGCTTACCTTCTGCTTCGTACTCCTCACTGTGCTTCCAGGGCTGAAGGAGGCAAGGGGAGAAGGTGAGTGTGCGTACGAACGTATCCAGAGAGCAAGCCTAGATTCTCCCAGACCAGGGAGCTCTTGGGCTCTGAAGCCGGTCATTTTTGCCACACAGAAAACACCAGAAGGCCATAACTGAAAAATATGTAAGTTCAACCCCTCAGGACTAATAATGAGAGTAGTGATACCAGGAGGGGAAGGGGAAGGTGGGGGAAGAAAAGGGGAACTGATCACAATGACCGACATATAACCCCCTCCCAGGGGAACGGACAACAGAAAAATGTGGTGAAGAGAGACAGCAGTTGGTGTAAGACATGAAAAAAAAAAATTATCAAGAGTTCATGAGGGAGGGTGGGTGGAGGAAGGAAGGGGGAAATGAGCTGATACCAAGGGCTCAAGTTGAAAGAAAATGTTTTGAAAATGATGTTTGCAACATATATATAAAGGTGCTTGACACAATGGATGAATGCATGGATTGTTTCAAGAGTTGTACAAGCCCCCAAGGCAATGATTTAAAAAAAATGATTTTAAAAAGTATGTAAGTTCAATGTTCAAATGCATCACAATGCTATTACAACAAAATGCCATTCATACACATGGCATCTATGGAAACTAGATAGCGCACAGTATGATCTTTTGGTTTGTATTATAATTTTATCAGTTCACTCAGCCTGTTGCTACATAAAGATATATCTCCAACCTGTGGGGTGGGGTGGGGGAAGGAAAGGTGGGGGGTGGTAAATGGGCCTCAACAATTTTCTTTTCCTTCATTGTTTACAAGCAGCTTCATTTACTTCCTCACGGCCAATGAGTGCATTGCAGCTCACAGTGACCCTACAGGGCAGAGCAGAACTGCCTCTGTGAGTTTCCGAGACTGTAATCCTTCATGGAGTAGAAAGCCTGGTCTTTCTCCTGGGGAGTTACTGTAGTTTCAGACTGCTGACCTTGCAGTTAGCAGCTCAGCACATAACCACTAAGCCATTTGGAGTTCTAAACAATCCTTAAACCTTCACTGACCAAAGAAAGCAGTGGTTCTCAACCTTCCTAATGCTGCGACCCTTTCATGCAATTCCTCATGTTGTGGTGACCCCTCAGCCATAAATGTATTTTTGTTGCTATTCATAACTGTAATTTTGCTACCGTTATGAATCGGGTGACCCCTGTGAAAGGGTCATTTGACCCCCAAAGGGGTCACGACCCACAGGTTGAGAACAGCTGTGGACAAAAGCCTGCCTGTCCCTCCACACTGAATCTCCTCATCCAACAGCAAATGACTTAATGCAAATAGTACTTCAGCACCCAAGAGGTGCAAAATTTATCGTAGGTTTTTATGAGCTACTTAAGATCTAAGTTGGTCAAAAGGAAATTAAATGCTTCAACTTTATAAGCATTACATTTTAATGCTTAAATGGATAGAATTGGCAAAAAAAAACATGTGTTGCTGGATTCAACACAAAAGCGAAGCTCAACTGGTACATAGAGATGTAAAAATACAACACACACAGACAGACAACTTCAAAAAGCCCGTGGGAACAGTTCTGAAAGCATATACAAATATTTATTATATTTACTCATTCAATTTTCAGTTCACCTTAAACTAGTAAGCAGTGAATTCAGAACAACTAGGTGCTACAACTTAGTGCTTCCAGTATCTTGGGCGGTCTTTTGGGATGGGGTGCATAATTCAAGTTCAGTTCTCAGGTGAGTTTTTCCCTGTGACTCTTTGGGGAGTCGGACCCCTAACAGCATCTGAGCATGCCTCAAGGAGATGGCAGCACGCGTGTCTGGCCCCAAATCCCTGCTTACTTACTAGCCCGGGGCCGGGGACGTTTCTTAACCTTCTTCGCCTCGGTTTCTCCATTTGTACAATGAAAAATAAAGCAGCACTTATGTCACAGAGTTGTGATAAAGTGCTTAGACTTGTGCCTGGTACGCAATGAGCACTATAGAAATCAGTCACTTTGTTGCGCATGTGTCTATACTCATTTTATAGGTGACTTTTTCCCCATTACCAAGTTTAAATTTAAAGATTAATTTAGGTAGACCAATTCAGGAAATTATCATTCAGATGAATTTTGTAAGACACGTGCATGGCTCCGAACAGATGTGCATCGAGCACAAAGCAGGTAATTCGCACAGGGGCAGACAGACAGATATGGGAGGATGCCCAACAGCAGTCATCAAAAGTCTAAATTAAAATCAAAGAATTATGCTATTCCTATTAAACTAGAAAACTGTCTGAAAGACAACCAACCCCTTCTCTTGTCAAAGGTGTCACCTAAAGTAGGGTCCGGTCTGATATTGCCTATTGGTAGCAATATAAAGATCCTATTCATACAGAAAATGGCTGCGTGTTTCAAAACTCATGAAAGTGCTCTTTGACCCAGTGATCTCACAAAGCAGTAAAAGAGGGGAATAGCCGTGTGCACAGGTGTGTGCACTGCAGCACTTTCTGAACCAGTAAGTCACTGAACACATTTTCAACGTTCAACAATGGGGCATAAAGTGTTATGATACGGCATAATGTAGTCATTAAAAACATAATTATAAATGCACGTCTGAACATGGAAAAACAGCTAATGAAATGTTAAATCAAAGGCCCTAGCGCCATTGACTCTACATCACTGCAAAAAAATATTTACACATGAAACAAAGGCTGGAAGGAAACAGATCATAAAATCAGGGGCATTTCAGTTGAGGGACTATGGGAGACCATTTTCTTTCCTTTGCTGTTATAAATGCTGTCTAGGCAACATAAATAGGTACAGCTTCAATCCTGGTTTGCCCACCTGCCCTAACATTGTCACTCAGTTCATGCCCTGTGTGTGTGTGGCCTGGGGGTGGAGATGGGGGGAGAGGGGCGAAGTTTTCCCCCCTGGGTATGTACCTCTCTGCACCATCTGCAAGGTCTGCCTGCTGGGGCCTGATGGACAGAGCTTGGTGGAGAGCCCCAGTGCTGCCGTGGAGGGGGTCCCCTGTGGACGCCAGTGCCTCTTAGCGCACTGGAGTGCAGGCAGACCAGGGGCATCAGGGACTGAGACCAACCGGAAGTGGTCCTGACTGGACACGGCTCCGCCAAACCCAGTGCGTGAGTGCGGTCCAGCTTGTGGCCATCCCCCGTGCTGCAGAGTAGGACGGCTGCCCCACAGGGGTGCCTCAGCCGCCGGCGTACAGGAACCCAGTAACCCAGGCCTTCTTCTATGGCACTGATGGGCGACTTCCACTCGCCAACCTTTAGGAGAGCTGAACATAAAGCTTCGGTATGGTACAGCCTTCTAACCCGGGGCAGCACCCACAGCTTAAATGATTTCACCTCCACCGTGAAGGCAAGCAGAGGTGGCTAGGTAAGAGGTCACTTAAACGAGTTCAAATCTCTGGCGGTACCACTTGGTCTTGGTGCATCTCCAGTGAGCAGTTCTAAGAAGCACAGGCCTAGCAAAGCCCAGCCCAGCGAGGAGGAGAGAAGCCAGCTGGCCAAATTGTCATTTTAGGACCTCCTCAACTGGAGGTGGAGTTCAGCACCCAGGCAGGTGTCATGCTTCTCGTTAGCCTGCACCAAGGGGTCTGTTCCTTTACCATCAGGGAGGTGAGCACACGACAGTGGACTGTTAGTGATTAAATTGCAATTGGGGGGGGGGGTGTCTGGTAGGGAAGGTTCAATTCATTCACAGCTCATTTATTTTCATTCTGACAGCCTGGAGCGAGTAGTTCCAATTAAAAAGCAGAGGGAGAGGGAGGGGAAGGCAGGTTGGAAGGTTGGGGGTGCGGGAAGCGGGGCTTAGATTATTCGGCTGCAGTACTGGGCAACACCAATGAAGGGAGGCATCAGTCTGGAACACGGTCATCGCATTGCTGCGGGTTGACGCAGCCTGCAGACACAGATCAAGTCCAGCACTTAAAGAGAGATCATCAAGGACATCTCTGGGAAAGCCGGGGGTGGGGTGGGGGTGGGGAGTGGGGGTGGTGAGACGGAGACGAGGAGGGGCCCATAATTGCTGGGAACGGTTCTTAATACTTAATTCACAAGAAAGAATGTCTAATCTCCCCCTCTGACATTTTAGGCAGGCCCTCACTGAATAAAGAATAGATAGTAATAAATTCTAAAAATAAGTTCATACTGTGGGACTTTACCGATTCACACTTGCAGGGCAAAAACTGCTGGGTGGTGAAACACAGGGGTCTAGGGGAGGCACTGCCTGGGTGGGCTCTGACTCTACTCCTTTCTGCGACCCCTCAGCACCATAGTTTGTCTGCAAAGTGGGGCTGAGTCTCCCACCTGCTGACCTGGTAGGCAGGTGGACACAGGCCCTGCGGTTTGGAAGTGTTCACTATTATTTCAGCCAAACAAGAGTGTGGTGCCGGGTTTGGACCCCGGCGCTGAACTCTGTGATCATTTTCATCTCCACCACCTGTGAGAACTTGGGAGGGGTTACCTAACCTCTACGTGCCTCAGTTTCTCCAGGGAGAAGTAAAGAATGACGGTTCCAAGCTCCCTGAGTGTGCTTCAGATTTGCAAAACGTCGCGTGCCACCAATTAAGTGACAAGTTGCTTGTGAGTCGCTGCACTTGGGTGTGCAAAATTAGTCCAGGGCAGCCGAGGAGAGCTGGGCAGAAGCACACCAGGGTGGGTTCCAAGAACAGTCCTGGAAGAGACTCCCTTTCAAAAGTACAGCTTTGAGCTGGTGGGTGTGGGGCTGTCGTGCAGATTTGATTTAATTTTAGAAGCCAGCCCTGT